TGTCATTGCAAGTTGGATAAACAGAGATTTTATTTACCTAACAACTTAAGTAATAAAATAAAATGTGACATTAATCATTCAACCTTCAGGCAATGCGTGACAGTGCTTATTCTTTACTTTGACTAAATAGCAACGAGAAAATATTATTGTTTTGTATTGTCTACACTTTATTCCTGTTGAATTCTTGCAATAGCCAAAACTCTTCTAGGATTGAACTCAGGATATGAGCTCAGTTTGTGAAATCTTCTTTCATGAAAGGAGGATTAATACAGTCTTGCAGTATTTATACAAAATTCGACTTCCAAACATTACAATATAAATACCAATCTAAATTTTAAAGCATTTCTAAACTACTCTATCATTGAATTTCAATTAATCTCGAAGCTTTAGCCTACCGAAATTCAGTTTCCAATTTTACTGTGTTGCTAAACCAATCTTTGTTTCTTATTAGCTAAAGGCAAATTTCAATTATTACATAACTATTGCGTACAAGATTTCAATCCTTACTTCACAATCTATCGAAATTTTTCTACCTGGGTCCTATCGATAAGAGAAACAAATTCCTTTCCTCTAGGCCAATCATTCTTTAAAGTAGACAGTATTTCATTGAAGGTAGTTCATGCCTTCAAGGGCTATTAAAAATCCAATGCCATTTCTCAGTGAATCCAATTTTTTTTTAGTTTTTAAAAGTATTGTAGCCATGCAGAAAAGGATGAATCAATCTTGCTCGATTTGAAAATTGTTGCAGGTTAGAGAAATATTTACTAGAACTATGAAGGAATACCGAAATAGTCTTTTTCCTTACTAAGAACATTATTCTTTTACAAAATATCACCTGTCGATAGTTAAGATTGCTACTTTCAATTCTCTCTTTATTGAATCTATAAGAAAGAGTATAACCTCATCGTATAGGTATAAATTCCTTTTTCTCAAGGTATTATCTTCGCTACGGCTGAAAGATTACCAAATAGTCCATTCAATGAAAGCAATGGTTACATCAAAATGAATTTAACGTACTGTAGATATCCTCAATTTCATCACCATCATATCGACGCAATAATACGACATCAAATTCGATCAATTTGTCATAATTAAGCTAATTACCTCAGTTAGATGGTTTGAAAGTGGGTTAGCATCTATCAAGAAAAGTATCAAAATAGTCGATTGCGCTTATTAAGCTTAATAAAGATGTGTACAGCAGATAAGGTTGTAAACTCGTCCATCCTATAGTTTATGAGTTGACATTTTAAGATAGATGATCACAGTTTGCCCAATTTTATCTCACATACTATTCAATAGTTGAAATAGAATTGATAGAAGAATAAACCTCCCCAAACTAAGAGATTTATTCTCTTTAGGGCAACCCTAGTGATTAACTGCCGTAAATTTATAGCACATATTACGGTACCTTAACTACACTTAATAAGTCGGTAGTTTGACAGTATTTGTAAATATAAATTTATTTTTGTTTGCGTTAAGATATAGACAGCTAAAATCCTATCGACAATATAATTTCAGATCAAGCTAAAATCACAATGATTGATGGTGACATTATAAACCATCTTTATTCTTTGAAAAATGTAGATATCCTTATTGCCTCATTAACTATTCGAATTGAAGTCTCTCAGTGAAGGTGGGTTATGAATATTGAAAATATCATTGGCTGGAAAAATATTGCGGTAGTTTTGAATTAAGTATAATTTATTATCGATTTGCGCCTAAGGATAGGAATTTTGGCCATTACCTGCTTTGAATTAATATTCTAGCTAGGTGAAATTTTATTACGGTACCTAATTTAAAATATATTATTTATGCGTGCCCATCCATGTCCACTTTCCATACGGAACCGGATATTAAATACTATGGAAAAATATATTTAAATACTTTCTACCCTTTTTAGATTGATTGATACACACCTGGCAATTGCAATTCCAGGTTAGCAATTTCGTTGAAAGATGAAATTCATCAGTTTCACAGGAACAGTAAACAAAGCTACCATTTTTTCTGGTTTTCTTATTTTTCACTCCATATAACATTAAATGACGTGTTTATAAATATTCAACAAAATTTGCAAAACAAAGGAGTAATCCTAGTCTAAGTGTTATTGATTTTGAGCCAAACTGGAACCATCACAGCGTCAAAGCTTTGCTATTTGTCTGATTTGAATGAACGACTTCATTGATGCTAATTCAAATCAATGGAAAGGAATAATTAAACACATTATTGATTTAGCAACATTCTCCAGTGATAAACAAGAAATCTATTGCCGAGGTGAAGACTTTAAGTTGGCATTTTATTAGTTTTGTGTCATTTTTGAGCGTGTATAACACCNNAAAATACCCCTGAAAATA